ATCCCGTTGCCGGTCCCGGTCCAGTACGGGCCCGGCCCTGAGGGTTGCGATCCCGTTGCCGGTCCCGGTCCAGTACGGGCACGACACTGAGGGTTGCGATCCGTTGCCGGACACAAAAAAAGACAAAAAGGAAAGGGAAAAAAAAAAAAAAAGAAATGCTGCAGGTTAATCCAAAGCCATCAAGGTGCCAAGCGGAAGTCACCCTGACCCAAACTGAGGAATCCTGGGAGCTGAACACAGGGCAGTGCAGGAGAGTCCCAGAATTTAAGTTCACCGTTACCAAGCACACACTCACACTGCACACAACTCCTGACAGCGTTCTTTAGACTGACCCTCATGCATGCGTTCAGCAGTTTGGGGTATTTGTCCCTCTCCCGACAGCAGCCCAGTGCAATACCAACATACTTGGCGAATTTCACAGTGGTCGCATTCCGAGGCACAAAGCCGGTGTGGAACTGAACCTGGAACATCTTCATGGATGCCATCTGCAAAGAGAAAGCAAACACGAGACCCTCACATGGAAGAGCAGGAAACCAGAGCCTCAGATCACAGAACACAGCTATTATCAAGTCACAGGAAAACACTTCACATTCAACAAACTCTGAGAACCTACTCATTCTCATGTGCTGATCGTGGTACTGGGGACACACGGACAGGACGACAGGCAGCTGCCCTCGTGCCATGGGGAGAGGCAGGGTCAGCGTGAGGCATGGGGCCCTGGAAAACATTTCCTAGGGCCCTGAAAGGTGGCTTCACAGGTCTGTGTTGGGGGCAGCCCCAGGCCAAAGCCCAGCAGAACCTCCATAACCACTTTAGTCTTGTAATGCTCGTGGGGAGAATTCTGGACTTTTCATGTTAAAATCCCCTCTGCCTTGTGCTACATGATGAGTCCTGGGGACTCAAGACAGTCACTGAACAAAAACTTAACAGCACTCACAAGTGAGCTCGACCCAGTAGCCTCTACAAGAACCACCAGGGGTACCCAGCAGCACAAGAGTTACTCACCTTGGCCTGCAGCCTGCCACCCAGCGTGGACCTTGCATGGTAGAGGACGATGAGCACGTCTCCTTGGACTGTGATGCCCAGGGGAATGGTTGCTGTGCCATCCTCAGTCTTAAAGTCCCTAAGATAAAAGATGAAAAATGGTTCACGCAAGTGGATAACCTAACATTCTAATGTGACCTTCAAAGAACGATGAACTCTAGCAAGAACGCTGGAATCCTCTAAGTACAAACACTAAAGTCACACGTTCTTCTCCTGTGAATTATGGCACCAAATTACTCCATGGGAGTTTCCCCTAAGAAGTTTCTGTCGAGCCCAAGATGCCCACAGAAATGCCTACCACGTGTCACTGCTATGAGTGCTGGGGCCTTGTCTGCAGAGGCCTCTCTGTTCACTGGGCTCATTGCCAAGGCCAACGGCCACAGACACCCTAGTTCCAAACACACGTGCTGCAGCAGACATCTGCACCCAACAGGATCGAGCTTCCTCCCTGTGTTCAGGAGGAATTGGAGCCAACGCAGATGAGGGGGGCAGGCGGGCTGCACCTGCCTCGCCTTACCTCATCTTATCGTACTCCTGGGACGTGGTGGCCACACGCTCGCTCCCCACATACACCTCACAGAAGGGCCTGCAGCCATTCCTCTGCTTGCTGAACAGCGGCACGGGGGTCATGACCACGGCCTTCACCAGGATCGGCTTGCTGTGGGGCGTGATTGGCTCCTCCGCCACCATGTCACACATGTACTCGATGTACCTGAGGAGCAGATACCCCCAGTATCACCCACGCATGTCCCTGAGGCACAGCCATGCACCTCAGATGGAAGCATTTAATGCTCTAAGTTCCCCCCTGAAGCAACGTTTGGCTGCTCCTCATGAATTTGGTGTTGTAATTTTTAGTCTAAACTTCCCTTGAAACTTCCTCTTTGACTCACAGGTTACTTAGAAGTTATTTAAAACTATTTAGGAATTTTTCCAAATAACTTTGTCATTAATCTCTAGTTTCATCCCATTATAACCTGAGAAATGTTTTGCATGATTTCAATTTTTTAAATTTGTTGAAGTTTGTGTAATGACCCAAACTATTACTTCTTGCTGGACTTGAGGGAGGAGTGTGTTGTTCCGGTGAGTGGAGTGTTGTGGGGGGCGTCGTCGGGGCGGGGTCTGCCGGCGCAGCTCAGCCCCTCCCTCCTCGCCGTCTGTCTGCGCGCCCGTGACTGCTGAGGGGAATGCTGAAGTCCACGCTGTAGTTATGGAGGTCAGTTCTTCCTTTCAGTTCTACCGTTTCTTGCTTTATAAGTTTTCAGTCTATTTTGTCTCGTGCTCACTCCTCTGGTCAGCATTGCCAGGGCAAGTCCTCGCAGTGCGCACACCCTAGGGTGCTGTGTCCTGCTTGTGGGGTTCAGCCCCTTGTCTAACTCCCCCTGGAGTCGTGTGGGAGCAGCTGCTGTCCTGTGACTGCGGCGCAGGCCCCACCTCTGCAGCAGGCTTCTCCACAGTCTCCCTAACGGCACAGCTGACAGCCAGCGGGAAGCTGAGACATGTCTTTCAGCCACAAGCAAGCGATCCACCCACAGCCTGTGTGAGCTCAGAAGCAGATCCAGAAATGAAGAAGAAAGAAGCTTTCTGAGAGTTAAGCCTCCATGTGAGAACGCAGCTCAGCCGGCAACTGGACCACAGCCTTACGCAACCCTGCGCAGAGGACACAGGTAGGAGCTGGTGCCCACGGAACTGTGAGAACAGACACACGCGGTTTTAAACTGCTAAGCGTAGTAACCGGCCTAGCAGCAACTGATGATACAATCCTCGCTCAACCTACCGTGTTATTTTTAACCCGTCTTTACCTTCATGTTTAAGGGGAGCTCCTGGAGACAGCGTCCAGTTGGCCTTTCTTTTTCACTCAGTGGGACGATCAGTCTTTTAATTGGTTTCCTTAGACCGCTCACACTCAGGCTGAACAGTGACGTGGCTGGACTGAAACCTCATCTTGCCCGCTGTTTTCCACACGTCCTACCTGTTCTGGGTATCTTTTTTCTTCCTTTGCCTTCTCTTGGGTCAGTCAGGCATTTTTCATGCCCTCGCCTCCTCTCTTCTCCTGACCTAGCTAGTCACAGCACCTGCCAGCCCTGCCCGGGCGCCCCGGGACTTCCGATGAGGCCACTGTAACTCATACTTCTCTGTCTGCATGTGCACATCGTCCTCCTCTGGCTGCCTTCACGAGGTTCCCCGTGTGTTCAGTCTGCAGCAGTTTGAGCCCATAAGCCATGCCTACGTGGCTTTTCAAGTGCTTGTTTTGTTTTCGATCCTGCTGGGTATCTTCTGAGCTTCTCAAACCTGTGGTTTGGCATTTGTTGTTAATTCTGGAAAATTCTCAGCCATTTCTCGAAGTTTCTGCTTCCCCGCCCTCTCCTCCCTTTGGGATTCCGGTCGTGTGTGCGTTCGGTGCTGTGTGATGGTGTGGCAGCCGCTGCAGGCGCTGTCCTTCCTCACTGTTTTCTCGGTGCTTTATTTTGAGCAGCGCCTGCTGACCCATCCTCATGTCCACTGAGGCGTTCCTTTGTCAGCTTGTGACTCCCTTCCCCACCAGGGTCTGTGGCACGCCTGTCCCAGCTACTGTGAATGTGTGCCAGAGGTCCAGCGTGCTGCTTTGTCTCTCGCTGGCTCCTCAGGAGGCGGAAAGGAAGGGCCCAGGCAGTGAGTGAACGGGGAACAAGACTTGCCATCCAGAGCAGAGACAGCGAGCCACATAGTCCAGCTGGCCGGGCTCTTCTTTCTTTGTCGTCCACGGCAAGGCCCGTTCTTTCTGAGGGAAGGAGACTGCTCCAGCCCTCACGCCCCACAGAGGGGTTTATGTTGCAAAGGGACTCCTTGGTCCAGACACCCAAAAGGCCGCTCTCACTGCAGAGGAGCGGACAGAGGTGGACGTGAGATGCCTCTGCTTGTTGGATGGAGTGGTCCCAGAGAGGTGGGGGGGGTGAGGGCTCATCACGGCCATGAGAGATCGCTTCCTTCAAACTGCCACTTCATGCTGATGCAGAGCTGTGTGAAAACCTGAGTGTTTTGAGGGTCCTCAGTATATGTCTGCACAGCACCGATGGCCCACAGCATTTTCACACGCGCTATCTGCCGATACCCACAACAGAGGGTTCCCGTGGGAGGAGCTGCCCCGCTGCCCATGAAGCGCAGCCACGCAAGGCTCAGATGCTTGCCCAGGAGCTGGGCAGTCGGGCACAACCACAGCCAGGAGTCCCAGTGAGGCATCCACCACAACCAATCCTAAGGGGTCCCTGTGCAAGCAGGGCTGGTTGGGCTGAGCCGGCTCCGCCCTCTCCCACTTTCCAGCGCCCATGTGGCTCTGACCCGGCAGTGAGGACAGCACTTAGCGGCTGTGCTGTCCCCACACAGGGACCCACAGTACCTTTTGTGGGACGGCCAAATGCCTGGTGGGCAGCGCTTCATACTGAACATGTACACAGCGGCCTCTGCGGTGCTGAAGAGACGGCAGAAGCACAGGAAGGAGCAGACGGCCACAGCAGACGCAGCTCTCCCATCCTAGACAGACGGACACAGGCCCTGTTCACACCTGGCTGCCATGGCTTCTGCAGACCCCCTTGCCAGCCATGTTGCCAAGGGAGTGACGCAGAGCCCTTCCTCCCTGACTGGGGGACACATGTAGGAACCTACATGAACAAGCCTGGTGAGAATTCAGAGTCCAACAGAGAAAAAAGTTCCTCAGCAAAGAGCCCAAGCCTGCCAGCTTCTCCACCTGGACTCCACTCTCGACACTGTCCCCCAGCCTCACGCTCACACCTCACTGAAACCTCCCTGTCATCACTGATGTGACTCTTACCAACACCACAACAGCAGCAGCTGAGCTGGGGGTGTGTTTGCTGGGCAGGCGCCACTCCGTGTGTGAAGCTCACAAACCTCTAACACTCACTATGCTGATAGGGACACTGGATGTCAGGACTTGGCCACAGCTGAGGAAGGGCTGCATTGGGGTCAAGGCCACATGGGGACCTGTGGGACGCTGTTGCAGAGAGCAGGTCCACAAAGAGTGGCAGGGGCCACCTGAGGGTCTTTCCCCACCAGACCCCGAGCACCCTGGTGCAGAGACTTTACTCTGGCGCCATCTATTTCTCCACTGAGTCCCATGATTCAGGATAGCACCCAGCTCGTGACCAGCGCTCAGTTTTTGCTGAACAGTGTGTGCAACTGTAGACTTCAGTTGAAATGCCCAGACAGGACAGGTGTCTCACTCACCATACAGTGCACCACACAGACGTTCCTGTGGTCACGCTTGAGCCAAGAGTGCATGTTCCTGCAAATGCTGTACAGGGTGTGAAGGTTTGGTGCCCGCCTGGCTGCCCAGCCACATTCAGAGACCTGCAGGGAGAAGGTCCTGCTCAGCGTGGCTCTTCTGCCAGCATGCGAGTGTGGGCCACATAAGAGGGCTCCGCACGGCCACCTCTCTTCTGGTGTGCCACTCTCTGCACAGCAGTGTCCATTTTGCCATTCAGGAGGAACAAACTTTACCAGATGCAGCGGCACAAGTCCCTGGAGCACCTTCCCACTGGAGCACAGTGGCTCCACCTGCTGATGTTTTTGCACGGGCGCCTACTGCTGCTCACGAGCACCTCTGTGCTAGAGGATCTGTGCACAAGGGCTACCGCTGACTTTGCAAAGAGAACTGAACCTGCCCTTTCCTGGCATTGCATCAGGACCTGTGAAAAGTGTCTGTGTCCCAAATGTTTATTTACCAAAAAGACCACGTGGCCGCATGCCCCTCTGGTAGGCGAGGGGCAGTGAGGGAGGTGCTGTGGCTTCCAGCTAACATAATTAATTCCACCAGGTGCCCTCTTTACAAGATGCCCCAGCCTGCCCTGGGCCCTGGCCGCACATTGCAGCCCCACCCTGGTCAGAGGCCCGGCCACTCATTGCAGCTGCCTGGGCAAGGTCAAAGGGCAGCCCAGGGCTGCAGCTCTGGGAGGGTTACTCACAAAACTGTCCCAAGTGAAGAAAAATCACCACAGCTACACCAAGATAAAACCAGGGCCACTCACTCGGTTGTGAAACTTGGAGGCCCGGTACGTCCTCGGGGACAGGTTGTACACGGCATAGTGCCCCAGATGCTTGGAGTCCAGAAACAGCCGCACATCCTCTATGTTGTTTTTGATTGCTGACTCCATGCCTTCCGCAGGGAACGACATCACTGAAACAAAGCAGGCCACATTAGCAGCCACATTGGCTGCCACGTTGTGACCACCATCCTGGGAGGGCAGCCCCCTGCAGCTGCACCAGCCACGGGACACACAGCGACCATACCAGGCCCTCTCTTCACCCTCCCAAGGACGCCCACCCTCCCACAAGCCTGCCAGTCAGTCACCAGGAAGATCCCACCAACCAATCACCAGGACTTCTGGAGCGAGCTTTCCAGACGATACGTTCTGCCCTGACAGCCTGGTGCCCAGTGGGGCCTCCGAGTGTCAGGATGAGCTTCCCTGGTCTCTGTGCGTGGAAAGCCAGCCTCTAGACGCGCCAGGCCTCGCCTCGCTCCCCTCCTGGCCTCAGAGTTCAAGAAGGGGCCAAGCCAGGGGCACATGCCCCAGACCATTTCTTGGGCGAGGCCATGGCTGCCAGGAGGCTAAGGAGGCCCCTCCATGTGTTGCCAGCCAGTCCACCCCACTCCCAGGGACTGCTGGTGGCAGCTGGGCCACAGCTGCTCTCACATGGGAGGAGGGGCAGCAGCCAGTCCTGTGGCAGAAGCCAGTTAACTCAGTAAACGTACCCGCAATTCTGGATGTGATGTAAGAAATGTCCAGATCGCCCTTCGCATAACTGGAATTAAACAGAAGAACACTTCATCACTGTAAGAAACACTGAACAGTTAAGTGGTGGACCGTGTGGACCTGGCAAATGGGCAGGGGTGTGCATGTGTCAGGCCTGTACCTAACATTGATTGGGACCAGACGAGACCCAGGAATAGGGTCCCCAGGATGTAGAGCAGCTGGATAGTGTGTTGACACATACCTGGACCTTTCTAATGGGGAGAGCCAAACAGATGAAAGAATTCACTGTTATTTCTAAACCAACTTGGTGCACACAGGGGCTTACGGAACCTCATCTGTCTTAAGCACATGTCCGGGCAGAAGGCAGGTCACAGGGCAGCCTGACTACTAGCCTCAGAAGCCTGCCTGCAGGCGGCACCTGGCTGGCGTCTGAGGGTTTCAGAAGGGTTTCCGCCACTCCCAGAAATGGTAAGAAGCACTCACTGTGCTTAAACACCACACAAACAAATCACAATCTGGCACACGCTGAAACTACTTCCTTCCGGGGCCTCGATTCCTGCATGACATACCCCATGGCAGGCTGGGCCTCACGCAGATGGCACCTCCTTACATCCCAGGCATCATCACGGCTCGCTGGTGGGGACCCAAGGACTCAGCCCTGTGCCCCCTCCCTCTGCTGACTTGCTCTGTGTCCTTTCTCTAGAATAAGACGCAGCTGTGATCGGAACAAGTCCTCCTGGCAAATCTCCCAACCCAGCGGTGGTCCTGGGCCTGACACTCACCCTTAATCCGCCTATGAGAAGCACTCATTCCTCACGACAGCGTAAGGAACCAGTCACTTTATGTTTTCTCTCTCTCTCTCTCCATCCTGATGTGATCCTAGCATCACCTCTGATGAGACGGCAGTGGGCGCCTCTCTGCCCCTAGGCCTCGTCCCTGGAGTACCTCCCTGGGTGCCTCCCCGGGACTGCACCTCACAGTTGCCGGAGATGGTTCTGGTGGTGCCACCACCCCGGTAGGCATGGTTAGGCTCACCTCTTTAAGTTAATGTTCCATCTTAGGAACAACTTTCTTTTCATGTCACGTGAGATGCTTACATAGCTCCAGAGTCACAGTCATGAGACCAGACAAATGCAGGAGTGAGCAGCCATGCTTGACCTTCCTTTGTTCTCCTAACACTATGCTTTCGAGATCACAAACAGACAAGTGCATGTTCAACCCCACTTCATCGTACTGTGCCCTGCGCAGCCTGGCAGTCTCTCACTCTCAGCATTTCAGCTGAGTGAGGCTGAGCTGCCGGACACTGTCATTTGGGGGAATGCAGGTTAGGAGTCCCCATCCCAGAATCCACAAGGACAGGCACTGGAGCTGTGTGCCCTACCCAGACTGAGCACCGCACTTGGGCAGGAGACACGAAGAACTTACTGTGGGGCAAAGATGAAGACGAGGGGACTAGATGGCGGCAAGGGGGGTCGGGCCAGCAGAACCCAGACCCAGATGCGGCACTGCAGCCACAAGGACCCACGACTGCCTTGCGGGGGGTCATGCCCAACCACGGCTCCAGCCATGGGGTGAGTGGCACTCCCAAGCATATATGTGACGCCCATGGCACAGTACCACCACCAAGATCTCCCAGCGTTCTCCAGGGCTGCACACATAGGACAGGGGAGCACCTGGCCCAGCCCTGCCTGGCCTCCAACACCCAGAAATGCCAGCCCAGGGCTGGAGGTCCCACAGCCCCAACCCCAGAGGATGGACTCAAGCACAGGACAGAGGCACCAATCAGCCGCCACACAGAGGAGGCAGCACAGAGGAGTGTGAGGCATCTCCTGCTGCCCTGCCCAGGGGGCGCACCACGTGGGGAAGACCAAGTTCCTCCTTGTCACAAAGGTCATGTCCAAGTGTGCAATGTGACAGATGGCACAAATGCGGGACCATGTGCAGCACACGTGTGCACATGCTCATACAATCGCACACACATGCTCACACACATGCTCATATACACTGACACACCTGCACATGCACACACATGCTCACACACGTTTGCACACACACATATACTCGCATGCTCCCACAAAGATGCTTGCATTCACTCACATGTTCACACGCTCACATGCTCAGACACATATTCACATGCTCCCACACTCCCATTCACACACACATGTTCACACACACATGCTCACGCAACTCACACGTTCACGCGCTCACACATACAAGTTCACACACTCGCATGCACACACGTTCACACATTTGCACATACACATGTTCACGCACACGCTCACATGTTCACGCACACACATGCTCACGTTCACACACTTGCACACATGCTCGTAATCATGCTCACACATACAATGCTCACACATGCAGATATGCTCACATACATTCACATACACATCTGCACACACAAGATCACACACACTTGCACATGCTCACGTGCGCACACATCTGCCTGGGGCTGTGGACACTTCTGGACACAAAATGATGATCATGGCACAAAAGAACAAACATGGCCAAAAGGTCCCAGTGTCTGCAGGAGGATGTGGGGGCCACGAGGGCTGCGGTCGTGACACGTCCAGCACCTGCTCAGCTCCCACATTGTCTCCTGAAATGGGTGACGCCCTCAAACTGGCTGAGGCTTCAGGGCATGCCCTAGTCAAAGCCAAGCCCCTCAGAAGAGCTGTAGAGGGACCCCTGATGCAGAGGGGGCCATGTTCCGGAGTGTTCCACAGGGTGTGGGGGCTACAGGACAGTGTCCAGGACAGGACAGCCTCCGCCTACAGAGACGTGTGCGCTCCTTGGACAATCACACCACCTGTGACTCCACTTGACCACACAGTCAAACCCACCTCAGCCCATGTCTCCATAGTGAGAATCGTAACTGCGGAGCACACGGCAGTGGGGTATCACCATGCTCTACAATGGCCTCCCCTCTCACAGCAGACACATAAGCAGCTCCAGCATGAGGGGCCATGCTTGCAAGGGGTGTAAGAGAGGGACCTCCCCATCTGTGTGGGCACTGGACTTGCCGAAGTCTGGCCCTGCTCAGAGAGAAGGGTGACACCGCCCCACTGACTCAGGGCTCCCGTGTGGCCCAAGAGCAGCTCTTCCACAGGAGTGTGGGAAATGGGCTGAGGGTCCAGACTGCAGCCTGGAGTGAGCCCAGCAGGCCCTGCCTCAGCACCTCCCACTGCCATCCTCAGACTTACTTGGCAACAGACTGGATGACCTTGGAGGAGGTGTCCTTGATATTGGTGAAAAGCCGCTCCGTCCCACCCCGCAGGATGTCAAGGAACCCGCCATAGGGCTGGTCGTATTCTACTAGAGCCAGGCCTGCAGGGAGAGATGGTTTCAGCAGGTTGTGGGCACATGCAGTCCTACCACATCTGACTGTGCAAGTGGCACAGCTGGGAGGCCCCACCAACACCCAGCAGTGAGCTTGGCGATGGCGCCAGCAGGGCTGATCACCATCTTTGGTCTTTCCACAGACCCACGGATATGGCTGATTTGGGCACAGAAAAGCCTGTGATTGCCCCTCCAATATGGCTCCTGCCTGGACTCCTCCGTCCTTGGAGACGGGGGCAATCACATGGCTACAACTCCAGGCCACTGCCACCCTAGATGCAAGCAGAGTGGTGGCCAAAAAATGTGGACTTTAAAACCAGAGTCCCAGGAATGAGGCCCTCAACAGGAGCTCTGGTGATAGAAGGTGGTGTAGGAATACAGGTGCCTGACAACACTCAGCACGTGCAGACGGGAGACAGAGGACCCCTGGCAACGCCATGTCCCAAGAAGCACCTAGCCCAAATGGGATGCTGCAGGGCTCAGCACCGTGGAACCTCATTCTCCCTCCAGCCCGTGGAGACCATGGCAGGCATTCATTGTGTGGTCCTGGAGTGCCCAGGACTTGGGGCCAGCTGACTGCTGGAGAATAGCCCCTCCCCAGGAAACAGAGCTGGAGAAGGATCCTGGTGAGCTCTTCCGTACCCCAAAATGGGAGTGGGGGCTGAGATCGGGAGGGGGTCTCGGCCTACAGTCAGTGCAGGCCGAGAATGTCCAGCCACTGCCGCTTGAGGCCATGTCTTTGACGCTCTGCTCTGGCCAGGGCCTCGATGGCTCCACTCGGAACGTTCCAGAGTGCCTCCCAGAACACAGCCCCAATAGCATGCGGCATCCTCACCCCAGGACTCCACACTCCCCACAGGCCGAGGGCCCCTCGGGGAATACCCAGACGCCCACGCAGTTTGAGGTGGAAGGCTAACTACTCAGCCAAGCAGCACCCACCTCGAACTACCAGCAGAGCCATCTCTCCCACCTCCCTGTCTCAGCCCCCACCTCCTCTGGTGGCATGACTACTCCCCACTCTGTCCTACCCCAGGCACCCCTGATGCACTATGACCTCAGGGCCCCTGGCTGTTGCAGAAAAGGAATAACTTGCCCAAAGCAGATCCAGCCCTTTGTCCCCAGTTCCTGAAAGGGGATCTGGGATGCCCCCCAAAGAGGTTCTCTTTCCTTAGGGACTTGGGCTGTGCTCTTCTACATTGCATGATTTATGGTGGGGGTCTGGGACATCAGCCTGACTGCTGGAGGAGCTGGAGACGGACTGATTGCAATAACGGCCCTGGACACCTGGTGTGGGCCAGCCTCCTTGGCTGGTGCCTGTTGTTGCTGTACCCGGCTGCCCTGGAGAGGATACCTGGTCACCCCAGGATGGTCTCTTCTGGACCCTGCCCTGCCCCCTCTACCCTAGGCTTGCTGGCCTCCCTTTCTCCCTGTCCTAAACTGCACCCTGAGTGCATCAGCTCTGCTGATTCAGTGAGTTGTCATAAGCGGCTGAATCTTAGAGTCTGTCTTCTGCTACATGGCAGAAAATCCCATGAGAGCAGGATTTTGGTCTCAGCCCCAAAGTGTCCTGGGTGCCCAGGCATGGCAGGAGTGTGAGACCCCCATGGGGTGGGCAGATGGGGCAGGACAGGGCATTCACCTGCTGAAGCATGGCCACAAGGATGTACTCACCTCCATTGTAGCCGCTGCTCACGGGGCCCATGGGAGGGGCTGGCCCTCGGGAAGGTGCAATGTTCCCAAAGCCCCCATTCTGCTCCAGGAGCTGTAAGAGTTACAGTACATGCAAGTCAATCCTCTGAATTGACCTCAGCAGAAATCAGAGCTACCGTTGGCACCTGCCCCATGTCACACAGGGAGAACACATGCATAGGTGCCCTCCGTGTCCATGCGCCAGGCATGCTGGCTACCGAACCAGTCCTTCTTTCTTCTACCTGGTTTATTACAAACCAGGGAAGACTTTCCTACAAGTCTGAATGGCCAACTTCAACCAAAGCATGGGACACACTCAACAAATAAAACCTCCATCACACACCTCCGCACACTGACACACAGGCTGCCTCCTCAGGCAAAGCACTTCTATTTCACTGCGAGCCCAGCCCCACCATGGACTGCGTTTTCTGGGATTGTGTCTGCTCCCACTGGGTCCTGGGCTCCAGAAGTGCTGAGAGCGAAACACGCCTGCGCGCCCCCACACACCAATGGCATCTCCACAGTCCACATCGAGAACCCCCACCAGCATGCCAGTAGGGAGCAAGGCCACCCGTCTCCCCTGCACACCTGCCCAGTCCTCAACAGCCTTCTGCAAAGGACCAGAGAGGAAACAGGACAAGGCAGGTCCAGGCCACTACACACAGAACAGACCTGCCAGGGTGTCTCCTCTTCCTCCTCCTCACCAGTATCCTCTTTAAGACTGACCCCCACCCCCAGAAAACTCCTCCATGAGGTTATCAAGGACATAAGTCTCCAAACCTGGAGCACCTGACACCTTCCAATGCTTCCTGTTGCTAACTTCAGGAACCCCCACACCCCTCCCTGCCACGGGCTACTCTGGCCTCTCCTGGCCGCCCGCCAGAGGGAGGCACCTTTGGCCCCTTCCCTCCCTACTCTCTTCCTGCCACTCCCCTAACCCCCAGGCTCCCACAGGAATCGCAAGCCCTCAACTCCCCCTAAACCCATCTCTTCTCATAAGGTCCCCTGTCCTTGGACGAGGACTCAGGCCAGCCCCTTTGGTCTTTCTCTCTCATGTTCTATAATCACCCCTTCCATAACAGAGTGCCAACCACACGCACCATAACCGGCTCCACTTCAATGGCCCTGGACTTTTACTTCCAGCCATGACAGAGTGAAAAGGACCCAACAACTAAGAAGTAGACAAAACACAGGAACTATAAGCTCTGGGTCACTGGACAAAGATCCCAGGAGAGAGTCCTCGCCATGCTGGGAAGAGAGAAATGATGCCAGGGAGGCTGGGGTGGCTGGAATCATGGACAGAGTGCCAGGGTAGAGGGCTGCACAGAGTAGGGGCTCCAGGGGCTGCTGGGGGTCCCTTGAATCCTAAACTCAGCCCTGCGCTGTGTACATAGATGGGGGAACCCCAAAGATGCCCCTATGTTCCCATGTGCTCCCCATGAGTGTGTGCCAAAGCTCACAGCTCTTGTGCCCATGTGCCTCTGGTAAAGGTTAGGGTACAGCACCTCCACAGCTGGGTCAGACAGAACCACAAGGCATCTTCCGGCCGACTCACCCTGACACCTGCTAGGCCTGCTCACCTTCACAAAGGGCGGCGAGGGGCCTCAATCCAGCAGCCACCAGGCCCTGAATGCTGCCAGCAGCCACAAAACCCTGGAAGTGGGCCCTTCCTGGGTCAAACCTTGAGATGACCATAGTCCAAAGACCTCAAAGGAACAGCTAAGCCATGCCTGGAGACTGACCCCCAGAAACTGTGAGATGCAAAAAATAACACACCACCCCAAGTGGGGGAAATAACCACGAGAAAGGCACCGACAGAGCAACCCTTGGAGCTCGAGTTGGCAGGAACAGCGTATCTAGAGTGCAGAGACCCCTGAGCCATGACCCCAGGACGCTCCTGGGTCTCGACTGCCGTTAGGAGCTCCTGCCCTGCACAACGGCTGTGAGCCCTCAAGGGCCATGCAACTGCACATTAAAGTAGGCAGGGCACCCTCAGGTTCATGCTGAGATACACAGTTGCATGGCGCCCTCACCTCTGTGATGGGTGACTTGGGGTTCACATTCCTGGCGGCCGCAATCTCCTGCAACTGGTGCACCACCTCCGCGATGGACAGCCGCTCCTCTGGGTTGACCTTCAGCATGGCACCTGCGGCAGAGGCACAACACTGAGCTCGACCAAGTGTCACCCAGAGCCCCAGGACCCCAAGCAGGACAGCACCTCCCACTATTGCAGAGATTACCAACTGACAGAGGCCGCTCACTCTACTCGCGTTACAGGTTTTGAAAGCAAGTGAGGGAATAAGGAGGTGCAGAGTAACAGCAAGCCTGAGTGAAATCACCAGAAACCACCACTCAGGGCACGTGGGTGGCAGAGGGGACGGGGGCTTCACAGAGAAGCCCCCGCCAGGGATGCTGTCAAAACGGCTGCGCTGGGCAGGAGAAGGGTGCAGCACCCAAAACCCAAGAGGGGGTGTCCTCCCACAGTCCCTGTGACACACGTAGGTCACAATGGGAACTCACGGATGAGGTCATGGAAGACTGTGTACCGGGTGTCGTTCAGAGGAATCACGTACTTCCCGTTGACTATTCGAAGTTTTGCTCCATCCTCAAAAGGGTGCTGACGGAAGCAAAGCAGGTACAAGATGCAGCCCAGGGCCTATGGGGAGAAAAAAGGTTGAGAGCTGGGGCCAGAGGGCGAGGACACAGACTGACAGCAGGGACCCAAAGGACAGGCCGTGGGACAGCCACTTCCACAGGCTCCTTGGGGGGACGATCACTCAAGGCTTTCATCATGGGCTTGGTTTACAGAGTCACACGCTGGCTGACCCAGCTGAGCAGTTAGCAGCAGACTCCCACAACGCAGGGAGCCTGCTTCTTCTGTCCGTACCCACCACAGAGGACTGAACAGGTTGTAGTAGTGGACAAACGTCAATCCCTCAGATCAAAAGCTTCCTGTAAAATCAACACGGTTCCCACATAAGCACTTGAGATGTGTCGGCCAGTGGGGTGCTGGCATGGACCCCTCCCTGTGAGGGGGCATGAACCCATCTTGCCCTGGGCAATGGCAGAGCGACTACCATGGAAAAGCTTTATCCTGACATTCTTCGGTCACAACACTAAGCACAGATTGAAGGAGCAGAGAAGCGGCACATGCAGGAACGAAGCCTGTGGGTCAGCTGGGGCTTCCACAGAGCCGCCCTGAAAAAGCGACGGCCTCTTCTCGTGTTTCATTCTACCCACAACACCCAACGATGTGGACCCCGAGGAGGAACGAGCACAGCTCACATGGAGCAAAAAGCACGCGCGTCCCCGTGCTGCAACATGTGCTGAAGGCCCCTTATGTGGGGACCACCGAGACAAAAAAGCTAATAAAGAGACACACGGATGCCTGTCATTTCACAACCTTCCACAACAGGTCCCACCTACAACCCCAGGCTGCAGACAATGCATGTTCACTGTGGGGTCAGCACGAGCCCCTCATACAGTCCATAACACAGTGAGGTGGGCACTCAGGGCTGGTCTGCTGTGGTCTGCTGTGGCTGATGCCATGCGGTCCCTATTCTTGGGTGAATGCCAGTAGCTCTGGCCACACGAGAGCCAAAGGGGAGCAACATCTGGGCAGAGCTCCACACGCAGCAGCTGAAGGGCGAGTGGGCACAGCAGGAGCAGTGAGGGCACGATGCCCACCCCAGCTGCAGGCTGCCCTCGGTTGCTCGGGACATGGCCTTGCAGAGGCACAGGAAGGAAGGGCAGCACAGGAGGCCTGGGCATCAGGCCAGCCCTTACTTTGGCCAGGCTGAGCAGGACAGCCAAGCAGGCCAGGGCCAGGGTGTGGCAGAGATGTTCCAGGGTCAGAGCTCAGATGACAGACACACAGGTCAGGGCGGGTGCAGAATCCAAATCTTGGGCAGATCTAGCTAACGTAGGCCTTCGGTGCCAACTCAGCTCCACGCTGACACACTGAGTGATTTCTACTCAGTTCATCCCCACAAAAAGTGGTCATGAGTGAGTCTTAAGAAAACAAAGACAGAGAAAAGGAAAAGAAAAAAGAGAGGCTGAGGACACATGGGGACTTCTTAGTCACAGGAGAGACAGGGCCCTGCAGCTGCCAGAGGCCCAGGGCAGACAGAGGCTGCATGCAGGCCACCCACAGCCCTCGACACCCCAGCTCCAAGAAGAGGCGCTGCGGACCTCACCCAGATATCCTGCTTCTCGCCGATAGGGAAGTTCGAATACAAGTCTATGATTTCTGGCGTTCTATACATGGGCGTTGTGTTCCTTGTGATCTGCAGGAAAAACACAAACATTTCAAAGGCAACATTACATGCGAGCAATGTTTTTTCTTGCATCAGTGTCCTGTGACTTTCCAAAACACACAGCAGGTCTGACGAGCACCTGTCATCTGTGCTCCAGGAAGACCTCTGGACACTCAGTTCCCTACCCTCCCTCCCTGCCCTTCACTTTCAGAATGAACTCATCTCTCACCATATGCACTGACTGACTTATCTCCATAACCTCACATACACACGGGGGCACATGACAGGAGAGGCGGGTGCAGTTGCCCAGCAAGAGAAAAGCTGGTGCACAGCACACACACGCACAGCAGCCCTGACTCTGCGAATGGGCCAGCAAGCAAACAAGCGTGTGTAGCGACACAGCACAAAGCGCCACAGCCGCGGCCGGGCAAAGGTTTCTCAAACAGAATGGAGAAACCAGGGATGAATGGGAAGCAACATAAACGGTCTCCACTTCCCTGAAGATGGTAAAATGGGCACCCATGGCCTGGGGGGAGACACAGGGGCAACATGAAGCACCAAGGGCTCATAAGCAGAACACATACACAGCTCCTGTAACTCCTAGAGATAGAGACAGAGTGGATGAAGAGTGTACTTTAAAAACTATGCTCTAGGGGCCGGCCCGTGGCTCACTCGGTAGAGTGCGGTGCTGATAACACCAAGGCCCCGGGTTCGGATCCCACATAGGGATGGCCGGTTCGCTCACTGGCTGAGCGTGGTGCTGACAACACCAAGTCAAGGGTTAAGATCCCCTTACCGGTCATCTTTTAAAAACAAACAAACAAAAAAAAAAACTATGCTCTAGGGCTCGTTGACAGGAGCGATCAGGCGGGACGGGTAGGCTGGGGCCCTTGCACACATGCTTACAATTCTGCACTGTTGTGTGTGTGACAAACTTCCATCGAAAGCTTCCTGTGTGTAAACTTTATGGCATAGACCCTTCAGCACAACGTATTCTAGGAGTCCACCCTGTGGACAACGCCACCCATGCCTCCAACATAAGGACACCGTGCACAGGCTGTTCACGGCAGGACCCTCCGTACCTGCAAAATGCTGCAAACAACCTGAGTGACAAGCAAAAGGCACTGGCTGAATGAGCCACAGAGCATACACAGCAGAGCATGACACAGTCATGGGAAAACACAAAAACATCTAATGCACCAGGGTGGACTGACTACCAGGAGAAACCAGTAAGTGAAAAAAACAAACAAAAGCCAAAAGAACACCAGAGTGTGGGAGAGAGAAAGAGCCAGAAACGCACACCTGTTTGCCATCTCTGAAGGAAGACTCAGGAAGAAAACAGAGAAACAGTGAGGCTGGGCCTCTGCAGAACGGGAAGCTGCGAGGGGGGAGGGGCACGGGCCACACTGTCTGTTCGGCTCAGTTTTTCTATAAACCTAAAACTGCTCTAAAAAATACAGTCTATTAATTTAAATAAACAAGTCCAAGGGCATTTCGAACAAGCAGTACAGCCACACTGAAGGAGAAAGTGCAGGCAGTGTCTGGTGGCACATCCTGGCCCTTGGTACTGGCAGGGTGGGCGGAGACCCAGGAGGAAACCTGAGCTCTCTGAGGTGTGCTTTCTTTTTTTTTTTTTTCCTTTTTGTCTTTTTTACTGACCGGTAACGGGATCGCAACCCTCGGTGTTGCGCCCGCACCGCGCTCAGCCAGTGAGCGGGAACCGGTCTCCACATGGGATCCGAACCCTTGGCGGGAGCGCCGCCGCACTCCCAAGCGGCGCACTCTCCAGCGCGCCACCGGGCCGGCCCTGAGGTTTGCTTTCTCAGTGCCACACTCAGCGCAATCCTGTGTGCTGACACTGCTGGCAGCAGGGCTCTCACCAAGGAGGAGGAAATGAGGGTCCAGGAGCAATAAGGCTCATGCTGGGGCTAAGGTGCTGCGTGGGCCCTCAGCAGCATGTGTGTGCCCACCCACCTGCCTGCATTTCTGCTCGGAGGGCCTGGGCAAGCTCCCCGTGCCCAGACCCTGGTCTCGAGTGCCACACCCCTCTCAAAGGCAAGGGCTCCTAGGTGAGACGGCAGGTCCCAGGGCCAGGGCAGAGTGGGTACCAGGAACATCTGGTGTTCCAGAGGTAGAAAGTGCTGGAAAATGATGGGAGAATGTCAAAAATCTGGGACATTTTAGCACCAAAATAATTAAGGACACATTGAATCATGACCTTGGAAAATATGGCACCCACAAGTCTTATTAACAATTAATGAGTAGGTGCAGGGGCTCCTGCTATGTGGCATGTGGGCAGGCAGGTGGGTGGCAGAGATGGCTGAGGAGCAGTCGCCACTGGAGGCAGACCCAGAGAGGGAGACGGCCCTAATGCACCCCAGAGGTGGTCACAACGCGAGAGGAAAAGAGTCACTGAAGAGACCGCCCCTTGAACATCACCCAAAGTCTCCACCACCCAATAGCGGTGGGGATGGCCGCACACCTCTGTGCATCTGCTGAAAATGACCGACACAGTCATGCAGTGAGGGCTGTGGCCCTTGTGGGTACCCTCTCCCACAAGGGATGTGGCCTCCTTCCTGTGCTCCAGTCCAGCTTCAGTGCACATGGCCTAGGCTCCCCTCAGACATTTAAGCACTGCCAACCAACATCATGAGAAGCCCAGTTCTAGACACCGGCATGCAGGGCACTCTACTGGGCATGACTTTTGCAAAAGTAAGAGCCTAGCAGATTTGGGGATGATCTCTGATTTAAATGAGACTCCTGAAAAGGACAGAAGCCCTTCTTTTGATGAGGTCTGTTTCTTGTTAGGGAATAAACAGAAGCATCCTTTCCAGGCAGCTGCTGGGAGAGCTGTGCTACTCAGGGAGGGCAGCCAGGCATCTTCCCACGTCATCTCAGTGGCCCCAGGAAGCAGACACCAGCGCCCACCCTGAGGCAGGCAGCCTGGCCTCCACACAAGCATCCCCGGCAGACTGGGGCAGCACAGACAGACTCATGCTCTCTTTCAGCCATGGCAGCACCTCCACAACAGGGAGCCTCCCTGTGCACTCGTCCTCTGAACACCCTCCATACTCACAACCTCCCCCATCACCACCCCCATCATTTGTGGTCATTTTCTTTCTTCTGTATTGTTTTGTTCATACAATTTATGACAACTTTTTATGATGCATAAGCCACCTGTAGGAAAATGCACAGTCTATAAGCATACAGCTCAGGGATTTACTGAGTGGACATATCACGGAGCCCCCACCAGCACCAGCAGCTCCTGCAGCCTCCATGCCCATACAGTGCCTGCCCTCTGGCCCCTCCACGGGCGACCCCCTCCTGGTGGCTAATGCTGACGCTCAGCTCCACCAGTTCCCCACTTCCTTTCTGCCACACCGTCATAGGGGCTCTGGTGGTTGATGCTCAGAGCACGCAGCACCCAATCTCCTGCAGGGTCTCCTGGGCAGAGGCACCAAGTCCCCCATAAAGACATATCTCTAAAGGACTTTCAGAAAAAAAAATAGCCATGTTTGTAATGATGAAGAAGTTCTGGAGATGGAAGGTGATGATGGTTACACAACATTGTGAACGTACCTAATGCCACTGAACCGTGCGTTCGCAAATGCGTACAATGGTATATTTGTTATGTGTACTTTACCACAATAAAATATATTCCGAGGAAAAGAACAGCCGTAAGACACTCAGAGCTGGTTTTGTGTGAGAATGATGAGATGAGATGTCACATCCCCTGTGGCGTTTCTGTGGTCGACAAGCCAGCCCGAGGGTCATTGAGCTCAACCACTCTTGGACACCAGCACTGCACTTTGCAGGGCCACACTGTATGCCTGTGCTCAAAGAGTCCCATTGGGCTAAAGAGGACTACGGAGAGAGAAAGGTGCCTGTGGCACAAGCTTCCCAGGGATGGGCTGCAGCTGCCCGTTCTCACCTCTTCCTCCACCATCGCGCGCTTCTGGGCGCTCCAGCTGTAGTCAGGACAATGCGAGATGGTTGTGGCGCTGCCAAAGTCACACAGCTTAATGGTCCCCTGGTTACTAACCAACAAGTTCTCAACCTGCAAAATTCCAGAAGACAGTCCTCATGAACTTGGGGGGCAGACAGAGATTGGACTTGAGGAAAAACAAACAGGAGTATCAAACACGCCAGCAACTTATCAAACACAGCCTGTCTGCTCTGAGGTCAAGGCTGCTGGGCTACCCAGACCACCCTGAAGACATGGAGAACCTCCGCAGCCCCTCAAGGGCAGTGGAGACAGCCAGCTCCGCACCGGTCCTGGCAGGGCTGCAGGGGCTGCTCCAGGCCTGGGCAGGGGGCTTTCGAGAGTGGGCGCCAGCCTAAGAGGCAGGCCCTAAGGGCAGCAACAAGAAATTTCACACAGGCCAGCAAAGGGGCCTTCCTCAAAGGCGAGAATCACAATGTCCTAAATTCTTTCTCATCAAAACCAATATATGCATGCTTTAAAATACATAACTCAGAAAAATAAAAGGAAGAAAGTTGAGATCAACCATAAATCAAATAGAGATAACCCAATCAATAATGTGGGACACACAAGATAAGCCTTCAGAAAAGTCAGAGAATGAAAAAAGTTAACATGCCATTCATAACTGCATTTAAGGGCCGAACCCGTGCCGCGGGCTCGGATCCTATATAGGGATGACCATGACGGTGCGCTCACAGCGCTCACTGGCTGAGCGTGGTGCGGCTGGTCTCAGAAAGGAAAAAAAAAAAAAAAAAAAAACCCAAAAAACTGCATTTAAATACACCAACAGCCTGAAAACAAATCTAACAAAATATGGACAAAAGACCTCCTATGCAGAAAACCATAAGATAGCTTAAATAATTGTTTAAATGCAAAACAAACAGGGAACTGTACCACACTCCTAACATGAAACACGCAGCGTGTAGATGCCCCGCCCGCCCCAGTCGCTCAGGGCTGGGTGTGCAAGCGACAGCCCGTGAGCCACTTCTGGCCACCTCCAGCTTTTGTACAGCTTCTGTAAAAATGGTTTTTATGTTTTTAAATGGCTGAGGGAAAAAGTCAAAAGCAGACTAGTATTTCATGACACACAAAAATTACATGAAATTCTGATTTCGGTTGGTAAAGTTTTACAGGCACCCATCCATGCCCACACACGGTGCTGCCTGTGGCTGCTTCTGTGCTGCGACAGAGGTGAGGAGCTGCACAGAGACCGTGGGCACCGCAAGCCAAAATCAAAGAGCCTCGCAGCAATTCTCATCAAATTCCCAAGATTTCCGGGTGGAACTTGACAAACTAATTCAATAATTTATAAGAAGACACAAACAGCCAAAAAGAGCCAAGGCAATTTCAGAGAATCAGTTTAAGCTCTGGCAACAGGCCAAAGGAGTGGTTCAAAGGACCATCTAACGAGCACCACAGAGACAGAGCCACAGACACCCACGCCACACACATGACAAGGTGACACTGAGGGAGGTGCGAGAGGATGGTGACTCGGCCCAGATGCTGAGAGCTGGCATCCATGCAGAAGAAAAGAATAAGCCTCCCCCGCCCCCATGATCAACCAAGGAAGCCTCAACCCTGAGCATTAAAGCAAAACCATACTCTTTTTTTTTTTTTTTTAAAGATGACCGGTAAGGGGATCTTAACCCTTGACTTGGTGTTGTCAGCACCACGTGGGCTCAGCCAGTGAGCGAACCGGCCATCCCTATATGGGATCTGAACCTGTAGCCTTGGTGTTTGTTGTCAGCACCGCACTCTCCCAAGTGAGCCACGGGCCGGCCCTAAACCACACAGTTTTTAGAAGACGACATCCAAGAACATCTTCCTGACCTAGGAAGGAGTGACTTCAACGAGACACACAGCACTAACAGGATGAGTGTCTAGCTTAAGAGAAAGAGCGCCATCCTCAGGGCACTGAAACAGAGTAAGAGTGCAAGCTGCCAAGGAGAGAACGTGTGCCGCGCAGAACCAGAGCAGGGCTTCTGCACATCAAAAGAAAGAGACAACTCAACACAAAAACAGGCAGAGCACTGTAACAGGTACTTCCCCAAAGAGGAAATCCAAATTCCAGTACACAGTGAAAGACGGTCAGCTTCAGTAACAGAAGGGGAGCACACCACCAGACCAGCTGAGGTCAAGGTCCCGGCAATGCCAGCATGAGCTAAGCCAGGAGCCATGGAGCCCACAGAACACGCAGGACACGATGGAACATCCAGAGTTAAAGAGGCACACACCCCCAACCTCAATTCCCTGTAGGCCCCTGTCCCATGGAGGACCCGCTCCAAGGACAGGGGAGCCAGACGGGGCTGTTCGGAGGGCGTGGGCCAGCTCAGTTCACAAACGGGAAATAAGTCAAACACATATGACAGCCCCAGAACAGATCAATACAGCGAAGCGTGTTCCCACAACGGGACCATCTGTGAAGTGTGGGCTACACACAAGACAGGTGAATCTTAAAATCACAATGCCAAGCAGAAGAAGCAGACACAAAAGAATGTGTAACGTGCAACACCATTCACATCATGTCCAAAAGTAAAACAGAGCAGAACACACACAGAAAAGTGAACAAGCACCTGACCACCAAGAGTGAGCACAGCACACTCCAAGTCGGGAGCTTGCCACCTGGGGGGGCCTGGGGAGGGGCGTGCCATGTGGTGGAAGCCTCAGGAGGGCGTGCCACGTGGGGTGCTGTCCGGGCACTGTGCATGCCCGCACCCATCTCACAGCCAGCAGTGTTTCTTTCGGTTGTGTGCACCGCATAGCAAGGAGTAGGCAGCCTAAGTGGATCCTGTATGCCCCTCTGCAAATTGCCACTAGACGACTCCTGCAGCAGAAGGCCACAGGTGAGCACCTGAAGGGGTGGCTGGGCCAGCTGCCGAGGCTCCTGGCCAAGCGTCACCCATGGGCAGGCAAGGGACACTTTTCACTGGAAAGACAGGTAAAGTCAAACCCTGGCAAGCTCACAAGTATCAATTCTTTACTAATTCCATCCTTTTTGTTTTCTCCTTTCCTTAAAACACCCCCACACAAGCACACACAACACAATCCATCACACTTTTAAAACACAAGAGTCTGGGCCGGCCCGGTGGCGCACTGCTACAGTGCGCCGCTTGTGAGCACGATGGCGCTCCCGCCGAGGGTTCGGATCCCACATACAGACCGGTTCCCACTCACTGGCTGAGCGAGGTGCGGGAGCGACACCAAGGGTTGCGATCCCGTTGCCGGTCCCGGTCTGGTACGGGCGCAACACTGAGGGTTGCGATCCGTTGCCGGACACGAAAAAAGACAGAAAGGAAAAAAACAAAAAACAAAAAACACAAGAGTCTGGATGCTGTAAGAAAATCCCCCAACTCCTCAGGGTCTACTGAGGAAGAACCATCTGACAGCAAAGAGCAGGACTCTCCATCAGCAGAAGAACCACCACTGTATGGAGTCCTGCAGGACCAGCCCCCTGGGTAAGAGACCCTCACTCCACGTCACAACGGGGCCTCAGGCACTTTGGTGTCTGGAAATCAGGAGGTCTTGGAACCTTGAAAAACCTTCCTGCTGAAACCAACTAGCAGTACTGGAAAAAAGGAAATACAGAAGAAAGAAGAGGAGGGGGAAGTTTCTGAAGGCACGAGGAGCAGGAATGGCAGGGCTGTCACAGGGAAGTGCTGCCTGGCCCTGCAGGTTTCTGCCACAGGGATGTCTGTCTGAGTCATCTTAAACCCTGGTTTTCTAGGCCTCCCTGAATTCAGAGGGCAAATGAAAAAGGTCAGGCTCACCCGTGGTTCAAAATCTAAATGAAGACACCTTCCCTACACGGTGGGACTCCCAGCACAAGGCCGAGTGGAAGAAACCTGACCCCTAAGCAGGGAGACACAGAGGAAAACTGCCTTCCAGAACCTCGCGCTGCGGGGGTCATGGTGGAATGAGCCAAGGAGGGAAGGCTGAGGCAGCCTCCTGTTAGTGCACAGCCTCGGGCCGTCACCACGTAGGGCACATGAAGCCTCCCACATGCACAGCCACGGGCAGCAGGGCATTCCAAGTACAGCAGCATGTGGGAGAGAAATCCTCTGCTGAGCTGTGGGAAACGACCACCCACTTAGAAAATGGGGAGATGCTGATGGCAGCATCACATGGCACAGCCCCAGCCCAGAAATCCTGTGAGGCAGGACCTGCAGTGTCACAACAGCACCCAGGACACACACGCAATGGAGCGCCACCACTGTAGCCACACCCACCAGTGTTGGTGGAGGAAGCCCAGCATGATGGGAGGAGAGGGTAGCAGGGGACAGGCAGCCAGGAAGAGCGCAGACGTGGTGCAGGCGAGGGCCACAGCGGTGAGGCAGCTGAGGAAAGGTGGCACAGTGCTGACAGAGGCAGGGAGCACGTGAACAGGAGCGGGGAACCCCAGAGCCCCCACACTTAGGTGGGCACCTCATCTGCTCTCCTGACGGAGACTAAGCAAACTCCCAGGCAGAGCAAGGAGGCGGCGAGGGCAGGTGGGCCCCCAGCACCCAGGCAAAGTCCTGGCAGACACAGAGACAACTCTCTTTAGGGCTACAGTGGGAGAAGCTTCTGGAAAACTCATTCCCAAAGTTAAGAGGCTCCTACGCACATCTTCTCAGACTCTCAGGCAAGGCCATCACAGAACCTCACTCACTGACGAGTCCCAACACCCACTCTAGCTGGACCCAGGGCAGGAGCACATCCCAGAATCCGTGAGCGCAGTCACTACCTTGAGGTCTCTGTGAATGATGGGTGGCTTCTGTCTGTGCATGTGCTGCACTGCTCTGCACGCCTGATAAAATATCTTCAGGACGGTGTCACACGACAGAGGGCCTTTAGATTCGATTCTCTTTAAAAATTCCACCAGCTGCCCTAAAAGAAACAAATTCACATCACCATGAAGCCATAATGCTGAACCCTCCCTGGCCACCCTGACCACCAGGACACATGCTGCCTGCTCTGAGACCACCACCTGGGTGGGAGCCCAGCTTGCGCGCCCAGGTGCCGCTGAGGCCTTTCCTCCAGCTGCAGCAGAGAGGTGTGCAGGAGCTGGCGTGGAGCAGTCCCAGGATGACACAACAAGCAAACCCATTGAGTCACAGAGCCCTATGTGGACACACTGCTGCAGCTGCAGAAGAACGCCCAGGGATGCCCAAAGGGTCCACAAGCCACCAATCACGTCTTCGCAAACCGCTCATCAAAGCTGAATCGGGCATGTCGTTAATGGCAGCTACAAAGAGAACTATGCGTCTCTTCATCTTATGCCCAGTCAGAGACCCCACCCTCTTTTCAACCCCCACGCTCCTGCAATCTGCTCTCCACAGAGCACTGCCACAAACCTCTGCTCAGCGCACACCCATCCCCAACAACCGCCAAGCACTCGACATCAGAGCCAAGGCCATTACCACAGCCTCACGCCGCAGGGCCAGCTCCTCGCCCCTCCTCTGGTGACCTCGTCTCCCATGCTCCAAAGGTTGTCCCTCCAGTCACACTGGCCACCTTTCTGGGCTGCCTCAGGGCCTCTCCACCTGTTGCTCCCTCAGCCGGGACTGCCTCCCACCTTCACCTCTCTGAGCTCATGGATCCATCTTCCGGGGAGATCTGCCCACCCTATCCAAATGTGCACAACCGTCCCCTGAACTCGTTTTCTCCATGGCATTTGGAACTACCCAACCCTTGACTCTAACTTACGTTGGGGTCAGTCTGCTGTGCTGGAGCTTGTCATGAACCCCAACTGCCTGCACACGGCAGCGCCAATAGAAGTGTTCCAGAGAGTGTGGTAGTCTAGATTCTAACCACTCTGGAGGGGCAACTTCTGTAATCTCAATGCCTTTGCAACTTTTCAAACAAAGGAATTTACATGTGCATCGGTCTTTAGTCTTGCTACCACTCAGATGCTGGGCCTCACTATAATTCAGCTTACAAACAAGAACTTGACACCCGTGCCCACAGCACAGCCCAGGGAGATGCCCCCTGATGCCTTGAGTCTCTGCTGGTGCTCCAGTGACTACAGAAATGGGGTGGGGCGTCGGCCCCTGCCAGGCTCCCCTGCCCAGAATGAGTATAGGCCCCACCTGCCTGTCCCACCCTGGCTCTCAACAGCTGCACAAAACTTCTTCCTTGTCCCCCACACCTGCCTGCATTTTGCATGAGTTTTGTTAGTTTATCTCATGGTAACTATAAATTTGGATCAACAAAAAAGGAAATGGGGCCTCACCACAGAAAAGCTGGGCCGGGCAGTGGGCTCCACCCTTTCCCTCCCCACACCGCTGGGGCGGGGGACAGCACTCAAGCCACTGACACCAGGCCCCATTCCTGCCACATCCTTTATCACGCCATCTCAGGAAAGTGCCCAGTGTCCTGCCAGCTTCATTTCCCACTCTGATCCTGATCACTCCTTTTAAGAACAAGATTTCTAAAGGGGCCGGCCCGGTGGCGCACTGGATAAGTGCGCCGCTTGGGAAGCGCGGCGGCGCTCCCGCCCGAGGGTTCGGATCCCACATACAGACCGGTTCCCGCTCACTGGCTGAGCGAGGCGCGGGAGCGACACCGAGGGTTGCAATCCCGTTGCCGGTCCCCGGTCCGGTACGGGGACAACACTGAGGGTTGCGATCCGTTGCCGGACACGGAAAAAGACAAAAGACAAAAGACAAAAAAAAAAAGAACAAGATTTCTAAAACCAAGATTTACATCATGCGAAAACTTTGATATCTCAAATGATGAACAAGGGAGATAATAAAGAAATCGACCTCCTCACCAGCCATCAGAGACAGCAGACTGGACAGAAGGGAAGCCCCCATCCGGCCTTGGTCCAAGCTGTCCTAAGTACGCTGGGGCGGGGCTGGGGTCTCTCAGAGTAGCAGACACAGTCTCCCTGACCCAGCCCACCCAGCCACCTCTCCACACCCAGACACGATGCAGTTCCAGGCAGCAAAGAACAGAAGACTGGCCGTGTAATTTGTGGTGCATCACAATTAAGGAAAACTATGCAGCCTTCGAGATAGAGTGAGGTGAGTGTGTACTGGCACAAAAACATGCCTGACAGTTAATTTTTTTTTTTTTTTAAAGAAAAGTATTGGGCCGGCCCAGTGGCACACTGCTACAGTGTACCGCTTGGGAGCACGGCGGCGCTCCCGCCGAGGGTTCGGATCCCACATACAGACCGGCCGCTCACTGGCTGAGCGAGGTGCGGGCGCAACACT